TAAAAGTAAGTTTGAATAATGTTACTAAGCAACCTGAAAATATTACAGCAACACCAAAGAACCTCATAAAATATAGTAGTATGGGTGTTCAATATACGTACTGATTACTCTAGTTTTATTGCAAACGTTCTGTTTGTGGCATAAATTCGAGGTATCGGACCTCTTCGAGAGAATGCCTACCGACTCTAGCATTTAATGAATTAATGGTTTATGATTCGTATAAACTGTGAATTCCCTGGTTCTAACGTGTGTCAGAATTGCCTAGTGGTCGTGTGCATTGATAGAAGTACCTGTCCAAAGGAAGCATATCTCGTCTCTTCTTGAATAGATATTTTTGACAAGAACACAATTGGTTCCCAGGCGTTTCCAACAAATTGGTTAAAAGTACCGCTCAATTATTTGTCTAAAGCATCTACTATCAGGCGAGTGAATTTTCGAATACGTCAATGTAGATAATGATAATATTTCTGCCAGGAAAGGTACAGGCCATTTTTTACAGACATGGTCTACAAATTACAACATTTATTGGCTCTCAGTATGTTTCTCTAACAGGGTAGTTATACAGATCAAATCAATAAAAGTGAAAAACAGTACATTCGTACACATGTATGAAGCGTTAATGCTTAGGTTTACGCTTTGGCTTTACCCTGAGTAAAATCGTCAACATATTCTCCAAAGTGGCATCGCGTCCACGTGTTTTCCCAAGGTCATAGTTCACGCCAAGTGCTCTACAAGTCTACTTTATAACAACTAAAAACTTAAAAAGTATTGCATAAATACTTGGCACGAACAGAATTCTAATGCAATTATGCCGAGATTGCATCTGGTGTGTAACGTGGACGCGATGCCACTTTGGAGAATATTTTGAAAACTACTCAGTACATCCGAAGGAATGAACTGCTATCCATTTTTATAGAGTATATTTATTTATCATGCATACTGTGGAACAATAAATTTGTGATTTTTAGGTCATGCCTGTAAAAATGGCATGTACGTGCATTTGTAGAAATTATATATATATATATATATATATATATATATATATATATATATATATATATATATATATATATTAATAAGTTATGATTATGAACGTTGAATCAATACTGATGTAAATATCTTGAGCATTTATTCATTTACTCCCGGTGTTGTGTTCGGATTCCTCAAAATCACATATTGTTTTGTGCAGCATCGATACTTCATCAGTGGTGTGGCGAAAACAGCAATAAATCAGCAGTCAGCAGTGTTACCGAAGGACTGAAGATATTTGATTGACTAAAAACTGTTGTAATTAATATCAGTTATTTGGCGATGTTTTTGAATGCATCTGTTTTACTCGACTTCTGAACGTGTTTATTTAGATCTTTGACCCCTGACATTTTAGTTTCACTACGTCTTTGGTTTGATATTTGGAAGCGCTTGTTCTAGAAACTGAAGGTTCGTTTTGTAACTGTTACTATTAGATCAATATTTTTGTGGTGAAACTATGATTGATGGACAATCTTTGAACGACACTAGAGTGTCCTTTAGAGTATCCACCTAATAACTAGGACTAAATGTGCATTTCAAATCATTGTGGGGAATTAGTATTATGATTTGCAGTTGGTGGGTAAGGTTATGAATTAGATTTGGGGTTTTCATCACGAACTGACATTAGCTACAATTCCAAAACTCTATTTAACCAAGTGAGTGAGTGTATTTCGCGCCAATATACAATGCCTGTTATCTTATACTTGATTGGTTAATCCATGAATTTTAGTCTCATCAATTTGGTTGATTAACTGTAATTTACAGACGAAATTGGGTACCTGAATAAGAGTTTAGTTCTACTGTTATTTGGGGTCTCAAGATACACGTAGATCTATCTGCTGTGATTCGGTAACGGAAGAACGGCAGGGTAAAAACGATCTTGAACGGATTGACAAGAGGCGGTCATTCCGTTTTTCACTTGCCGTGGGTTTGTTGGGTTGCAGAAGTATTAAGTTTTTTCATATTTAAGTTGTATATTGCTGCAGTAGAAGGCACAAAACAACTACCGAAAGCTGTTTTAGCTTCCTCTGGTTTGTAGTGTACACGTTGGCTCTATTGGTACTTCATGACTTGATCTGTATTTCTGATTGCTCTAGGGAACCTCGCCACATTTGTTTAATTTTTTGATAAGGTCCAGAAAACAGTGTATCAAAGACAAGAATAACTTATCAGTTATAGATACGCAAAGTCAGTGTGAATCGCTGTTTAACGCAAAGTTTAAGACGAAATTTCAAGTCACTGGTAAGTCTCTAATATTTGTGGTACTTCCTTCAGTTAGTAAAGTATTATTGCAAGAAACAACATTTTTCTAAATATAGTAAGTGCTGTTTGTAGTGCTTCATGTTCAAGGGACAATTCGGTCGACATAGGCGAGATGTTTCAACCTATACCACTAAACAAGCGTTCCGGGAGCTGGAATAATTTCGATAGTGCGCTAAAGGAATTACAAAAAGTATGGAGGGATAATTTTATCCCTTCTCAGACCACTCATACTTAGTACATTCACACCGAAAGTAAACTGCTCAAGGACATGAGATTTAAATACTTGTTTGTGATGCTTCATCTCACATTTTGTCGTAAGCGTAAATCAGAAGGTCTGACAGTGGATCAAAAACTTTGAAAGCTTTAACTAATATGTGACGTATAAGGTCTAAACTATCAATCAAGGTTCCGTGTTAGATTGGAAAGTGAAGAATATGAAATAAAAGCACATAAGGTGCTTCAAAATCATCCATCTATTAGTTGATTATTGGTTTATGATCCATGGATCGGAAGGTTGTCCTTAGAAGAAAAAGAGAATTTAAAGCCAGTGATATTGCAGTCACAGTCAAAAGATCAATTAATAGAAAGTATTGAGGACCAAACTGGTAAGCTGTTCACTGCTGCTGATGTGGAGACTATGAAAGCTTAACGCTCTACAGGTAAGTGTAATAAAGTACATTTCAGATTGTTATACGCGACTGCAAGTAATCCATATGTTTCTGCAAAAGGGTGAGGTGAGAGAGTATTCAGAAAATGCCAGCAGAATCTTTTTTAGTACTTATGAGCAGATACAATTACATAAGAAATATCCAGAATTCGTTTGTGTTGTTTCTACTTACAATACAAACAATAAAATGTGATTAAGCTTTTTTTAATTTCCGCTTTGTAGATATTCGGTATTCCAGTTGGTAATAACCGATAATCTTGAACGAGGGCGTCCCGTTCTGTTTGGATGGACGCAAAAAGAATGGCGAGCAAATGTAACGTGGATCTTCGATAAATTCAGAGAATTAGTGGAAAATAAGTTAAAAATGTAAACTTTTATCATGGATTGCACACGAGCGGAAAGCGCGGCTGTCCGTATTACACATGGTAATGCAAATATATATTTGTGCGTCTTCCACGTGTGTCTCGCTTCCCGTGTAAAGGTGCACCAATCGTGATTTTAATGAAATTGCCTTTAGATGCGCGACAAACCTTGAGAACTTATCTCAGTAGATTAGTAACCGCAGAATCTGTTGCGAGGTATTGCTTGAAATCCATTTATTCAGTGGATTTAATCAATATTTCAGAATTATTAACCAAAAAACAGACGAGTGGGTCAGTATCTGCAACGATTTTAGATATCTCGTAAAAGTATGTGGGCAGTAGCTTTTAGTGGAAGTGTTTTGTCTCTCGAAAACAACACGACTAATAGTGTGGAGACACTGAATCGTCAAATATAAAGATATGTACGCAAAAACGACAGTTTGCACAAATGTATGTACAAGGTTTTCAAGTGGAATCCAATGACATCGGCAGGAAAAATTTCTGAAGATACCATAATAACCGGCAGATGCCATGAAAACGACGCTCTGCGACGGTGACTTCTTTTGCTGAACGTACTTACTCCGTTTGCACTGTTAAAAGTTTTATTGAAACCGGAAAATATGCGTTTTGTTTGTATCAACTATCAAAATGGTAACTGGTTGTTTCTGATGGACTGCGGCAAGCATTAATAAGTGGATACAAGCACTTGGGAGTGCAGTTGTCAATTATTTGTTACATGCCGATATCCTTGCCATCATATGCTACTGGCACACGTTAAGAGACGAACTCTTGCTAGTAAACCTAATCAATTAAGAAATATGAACTGCATAGCTCATCAAATAATTAAACACTGCAGTAGATGGAAGCTAGATAATAATAACTTCTAAAATAACACGACAATGACATTATTCAGACGAAGCGAAGAGTATATATGGATTCAACGAAGCAAAGGAATGCACAAACAATAGATTACTAAGAAATAAGGTGAACACTTCGCGCTGCTAGTTGAGAGAAATGTCGTTAATTTCACTTAAGAATCATCAATAACTAGACAAGACCGTTTACCATGAAAGTTCTTTATGGTTGTATTTTCGACTTCACTATATATATAACTTGTAAACCTATTTTTCTGCTTCATACGTCATTCTCCTTTACTAGTAGTAATGATGCATCAGTAAACTGCTGCACAATTTTTATCTACATCTTCTTCGTAGTTTCATGGGAAGATATACCAATAATGTTGACGACTAACTGTTTTTGAAAATTAAGAATAACTGTTTGTTTGTTTTATGAATCACCGTTTTGTTACGAAAACTTGTAGTGTTGCATCAGTGTAGGAGTTTTCCTAGAACGTTGCGTTGTGAACAAAAGTTTCTTCACTATGACAGTATATTTGGATCGGTACCTTTTACTATTAACATTGAGTATAATGTTCTACCCTCAGCCCAAATGTGTTCTTCAAAAGTACTAAATATCATTGCTTATTGTTACGATACGATGAGTTAGTGTAGATAATGACCTGACTTGCACATAAGATTTTACAGATTAGGTAGTCACATGACATATCCACTGTTTCGGGATTGGGTCTGTAGAATCCAAACTACGGTTTGGATGTTGAAGAATAGCCTACCGGGGACTTTAGACACGCGCCCTTTCCCGTCGAAATCAGAACAAGTAATCGGGTAACTAGCGGTTCTATAATTCATAATAAATTTAATGTAAATCATTACCTAAACAAATATTATCACCCGGCTATTCAACCAATGATTGTTCAATCAATTAAACCTAAATTACAATAATAAAGAAGTTGATAGAAGATGAGGAAAAATTACCAATCACAACAAATCAACGTTATTCTATCCTGGCTGGATAGATCACACACAACAGGAGGAACAAATCAATATGGCTACCGCCAAGAACAAGTGTCAAGTAAAACAACACAGATGCAGTTCAGGAAGAAACACAAACTTAGTGAATGCGTAAAAAAAACAAAAACTATAATAAAAAATACAAGTATTAACAACTCAAATGTAATCAAAATACAACAATGTACAACTAAGGGAATCAATAGGAACAAAGTACAAGTATATACATGGAGGGATTTTCACCAACACACAAAACCTTCAAAATGGATCTTACACCGGCCCCCAAAATCCCTCCATACCACACAAGCTACCTTGATGCCTATGGTCATGGTTCACTATATAACATATCACACCATAGGAACGAGTAGGACTTACAACAGTACGCCTACTCGACCTAACTACATTAATAACAACAAAGACTAATCCAAAGCTTCAAGGAGACCTGCTTCACCTGTTCTCTGTTGGTCAACGGTAACAGTCGTGATATAGACCTAATCAGTCTTCCCCAAACTCCACCCATGCTGTTGGATGAGGGCCTCACTGACAATTCAATGTTTATCTTCTGATTCGACTGCTGCACAAACTTGCTTAACTCAGAAACTGTCACCACGAATCTTGATGCACTGTCACTGTAAATCTCCGGAGGTTTCCTTCTTCTTCCAATAAAACGTAACAGAGCCATTAAAAATGAATCAGTAATCAAATTACACATCATTTCAATATGTACTGCCCATGTTTGCAAACAAGTAAACACATATCCATACCCTTTTTCTAATGATCTTCCTATGTGTCCTTGTTCTTTATGACAATGTCTAACTATCATTTGCGTCACTAAGTGCCGACTGGGTAAAATTACTGGATGTTTAAAAGCATTTGGGAAATCTGAGTATCTTAGTCGACCTCCAACGCAGAGTAACCCATCAAGCATCATCAACGATAAACCTTTCAGATCATCATCGCTTACTACTTTACTGCTGTTCTTAAATTCACTAAGTAATTCTCCATACACTTCTCTCTGAACCATCAATAAAATCTTACGCTTGGCAATCTCAAGTTCTTTGACCTTTAAACATCCTAGATGAACGGATCCTTCACAACTCGGTAAACGAAGTACCATCAGGAATTCGATGAACCTTCTAAACCAGGTTACAGCTCTGACTAATCTCAACCACTCGGAATAATAAGAGAGAACAGGTGTCTTGTTGTACTTTATACTACTCAAGTTAACCACAGCAGTTTTTCTAAACTCAATATCGTCAAGAGTAGGTTCCGTACAGTCAGTGATTGTTATATAAAATTCGCCATGCAATAAAATAGGACATTTGAACCAAGATTCAAGATCGGTCATTTTTTGTATACTTCCTCTACATAATAATTCACTTATATGCTTAACGAAACTCTTTGCTTGATCACAAGTGGGAATGGATATCAAGCAATCATCAGCATAGAAATTATTCTTGACATCATCTACAACATAACCATCATAACCGTCAAAGAATATTTGGGTCATCTTGTTCAAGGCAAAGTTCGCACGAAACGGCGAGGATGTGGCATCAAATGGATGGGATGTCATTTGGAACTCGGATGGTTCCCTTGACATGTCTCCCTCCTGCCACCACAGAAATCTTGAAGCTCCTCGATCAGACTCAGGGACCTTCACTTGCATGAACATTTCTCCAACATCTGCAGGGATTGCAACTGCCTCCTTGCGAAAACTTATTAATATACACCTTAACTCAGCAGTGTTATCGGGTTCTTGATAAATCATATCATTTGGGGGAACCCCTGCAAGCTGGGCGGCACAATCAAGGACCACTCTTTTCCTATATTCCGGATACGACGCGGGTCCGAAAACCGTCCAACCCAGCAACGTCTTCACAGCGTACGGGCTTTTTCTTCCACCCAACCGCTGGTCTAACACCCAGTGTGCTTCTGGTACGTCGCAACCAATCAACAGCAGAACTTCTTCAGAGTCGAAGTTATCTATTGGTACATCCCTTAAATGTGGCCATTTAACTAGGTTGTCCACTGCCGACCTTGTTGGCTTATGACCTGGTATACCTGCCACAATCAGAGCTCCTTCGATCGTAACATGTCCTGACCGATCTAGAGAATATACCTCAAAAGGGGTCTTTGTGACCGTCATTGTCCTATTACCACCCACAGTCTCTACTACCACTGACGCTCGGTCTTCCTTCAGCCCGAGACACCTCAAACAGCTCGATTTTATCAACGTTACATCAGACCCGTTATCCAACAAAGCATAACCTACCATTTCGGCATCTCCTAACATCAACCGTACAGGGATCATTCCTAGGCACACTTGGCTACTTAGGGATTTAGTAAATCCACAACAATTCGGGATATCAGATTTATCATTTTCGCTGTGCAGCAAGGAATGGTGTTTCTTCTCACAACCATTAACGTTACAACGTTTCGCCAGCTTACATTCATTAACTTTATGCCCTTGCCTAAGGCAGACAAAACAGATGCCATTAACTTTTGCTTGAGACCATCTCTCTTGAACGGTAAGCGCTAAAAATTTTGGACATTTATAAATAGCGTGGTCCTGGGAGCACACCCTGCATTTAGCTCTAGAGTTACCCTCCTGCTCTAATTGCAAGTGACAATTTGTCTTTAAGTTGTGTCCCTTTCTCGGACGACTCGCTAACCGTCCAAACCTACTATTAGCTACTCTTGCGCGGGACGCTATAAATTGGGTAAGCTCGTCAAAAGTCGGTTCTCTATTATCTTCCGTCAATTGATCCACCCGATCCGCCCACTGGGCTTGCATAACTTGAGGTAATAGTCTTACTATTCTTTCCAAAGTAACTAACGAATTTAGATCAGAGTTATAATTCATCTGTTCTAAGACCATAGCGCAGTTTTCCATTTTAATGGCCAAGTTTGATAGTTGCTCCCCGTCAGTATAATCAAAATTAACAGCATTAAATAAATCTTCTAATGTTTCTCGAGCGATTACATGAGACTGACCGAACAAACGCTTTAGAATTTCCCTTGCTCTCTTATAACCAGAGGATGCTTCCATCATGACACAACCTTCGATAGCTGTCTTCGCCTTGCCCTTACAATAGTGCATGAGATAGAGCAAACGTTGGCTATCATCAGTGACTCTTGATGCTATATACGTCTCAAATTGTCTTATAAACTTCCAGTATCCTTTTGGCTCTCCATCAAAATAACTCAATTCAACCTTTGGTAGTTCTAGACCAACAACAGGCGCTATAGGCAAAACGCTTCTTCCTGATAATTCAAGCCTTTGCTTCTCCTTTAAACTAAGATTTTTTACGTCATCTGTCATCGAATTAAGACTAGAGTCACTACCATGATAATCAACCCTATTCGAGTCTGAACCATGACACTTAAGGACATCAAAAGGCACTTGCTTGGTAATAGGGGATTCTTCATTAACATCAACGAACTTTGAACTTGATTTCCTTCGACGATTAGCTGGCATTATAAACGAAACGACCAAATACTTCCAGAAACGATAATCAAATCCGCGAACGATTGCCAAACGACTTCGGCCAATTAATAATTGTTTAGAACTGTAGAATCCAAACTACGGTTTGGATGTTGAAGAATAGCCTACCGGGGACTTTAGACACGCGCCCTTTCCCGTCGAAATCAGAACAAGTAATCGGGTAACTAGCGGTTCTATAATTCATAATAAATTTAATGTAAATCATTACCTAAACAAATATTATCACCCGGCTATTCAACCAATGATTGTTCAATCAATTAAACCTAAATTACAATAATAAAGAAGTTGATAGAAGATGAGGAAAAATTACCAATCACAACAAATCAACGTTATTCTATCCTGGCTGGATAGATCACACACAACAGGAGGAACAAATCAATATGGCTACCGCCAAGAACAAGTGTCAAGTAAAACAACACAGATGCAGTTCAGGAAGAAACACAAACTTAGTGAATGCGTAAAAAAAACAAAAACTATAATAAAAAATACAAGTATTAACAACTCAAATGTAATCAAAATACAACAATGTACAACTAAGGGAATCAATAGGAACAAAGTACAAGTATATACATGGAGGGATTTTCACCAACACACAAAACCTTCAAAATGGATCTTACAGGTCTATTATCAAAGTATTATTAACATCAAACTGAACTGTAGTTCAACATACTTACAAGATTTATGATACAAAAGATTGGGTATAGATTTTATGTTTATATTTAAATATTTCACTAGATGAATAAACGTGGCAGTAGTCAATACAAAGCTTAGTTATCGTCAACTTGTGATTTGTCCTTCGCGTAATCTTTCATATTCAGAAATTTGCCAAATTGTTCACCGGCATGGACTTGATTATTAAAAAGGTTTAAACCTTTCAATTAGTTGACAGATGCCATAAGTTGCATATCAGAAAACGTATGGAGACCTTCCCAGCTTAAAGCAATTCTGAATAACAACAATTCAATCGTGAAATAAATGAATAAACTTCGTTATCAGTATCAAACTCAATAAGTAAATGAAATTACAGCTAACAGGATGTACAGATAAGTGTCTTACTTGATGTAAACAGTGCTCTTTATATTCTAACCGTCCTAGAATTTCACCCAGTCATCTAGTGTTAACAAAAAACTGCAAGTACCATATAAACGGATTCATAAACTTTAATTAATAATTGAAATCTGAGAAATATCCAATTACAACGTTCATAATATTATTAAGAATTCACTGTTTACAAAAATTATTACACAACTGGTAAGCACAATTTAGATACCACTCGTCAATATGCAATAAAACATTGCAATCTGGTCATTGATTTCGGATTCTGTTAACAGAAATTCATACGTTAACTTGAAAACAGACACATCATAAATTAGTATTAATTACAACATGGTTTAAATACTATGCTCAAAACAAACATGCATCGTTTGACTTATGAAGGAAATGTGATTAGTTAATATAGCACTTACAGTAACGTTATACACGGTTCCTGGATATGTTCAGAAAAGGCTATCAACGTTAATTGTTACAATTTTTTCTTTCTCAGATACGTTATATAATAATATGTTTGTTTAGTCAAAAACAATGATATTTATAATGGATAGTACTGTTTATGGTTGTATATTAGCAACCTATATAACATTCAAAAATATTTTAACACTATTGCTTCAACCTACATTTTATAAACAACTATCAACACCCATGTTCAACGCCAACATAATTGAGGAGGTGAATCAAATATAAAAGGTTTCAGAGCTCATTTTTGATTGGAAATCCTATAATAGTCTATTTTTGAACTGATAAATGACGAATTGCACTAGCCTGAGTATGCATTGTTACAAATAACCACATTAGGCTTACCAAACATCTACCCAGGTTGTGGGCAACAAATACGTCAAACTAAAAATAAACTTTAGTAAAAGCCATGTAATAACAACAATCTACGAAAATCGACGTGAGGCAGAGAAAAATGCTGCTAATAGCTGATAAATAACGACACCCAAAATCCTCAACAACGTGTAAAATGAGCGCGAAAACCCTTGTCTTAACGTCCTTTCTGTTCGCGCAAGAGAACGAAAGCGTGGACGCAACAAGCAATTATGGTGTTACATTATATAAAGACATCTAAGAAATGCAAACTAATACGAGCATATAGACAATCTTTAAGTCAAGTTCAAATTGCCAGGTTTGTACTCAATAGTACCATTACGGCCAAGTAATCGAAAACTCAGAGTTTCTATCTCAGCAGGAAATGATATTCTGTACCACGAAAAACTGGTACAGTAATACATTAGGCACCGGTTAGATAAGCTACGGAAAAGACCAAAACCATTTACTTATCAATTAATTTAGAATCTGAGTGACCAAAATTATTAACAGTATTGCACGTTTTCAACAAACATCAAATGAGATTTTTAGCCCCTAGAACTAGTCGAATTGGTTAATCAGAAGTGGCATTGTTCCTAATCACACAATATTTAAAACTGACCATGAGATAACTGGAAAAATAGATATTCAATATTTACCTCGGAGCAAAGACCAACAATGGTGAACGCGAAAAAATCCAATTCGATCGGATGGCATGGCTCAACCTTGCAGGCGTGATCACCCACGGGTAACTTACCTCTTTTATTCATATTAAATAAACTGTTCTATCTCCAGCCTAAATGTGTTCTTCATCATATGTTGGTAATGTCTATGATAGGACGAGTCAGTGTAGACAATAAGGTGACTTCCACGTAAGATCTTATAGGTTAGGTAGTCATAACATGACAAATCTACAATTTTAGGATTAGTTCTATTATTATGATAGTACTAATAACGAAGTCGACCATAGTTCTATAAACCATACAGCAACAACCAGGAAATTGGTCACCTAATATGAAAGCTAGCGAAGTACAGTGTCTGAGTAAGAAAAAATCAAAACGCCGTGAAAGACAATAAAGTGCCCTACGAAAAGCGGTGGCTTATATATAAAATAAAACGTCACAAACGCTAAACTTGCTCTTAATAGAAGATATGAGGCTATTTATCACATAAAATGCATAAATGCTTACTTACTTACGCCTGTTACTCCTCGTGAAGTAGCATCGGCCAAACACCAGCATTCTTCATCCAACCCTGTCCTAGGCAACCCCTTCCGGCTCATTCCAGTTGTTATTCATGCTTTTCATATCTACTTCTATTTCCCAAAATAATGTGTTCTTTGGCCTTTCTCTTTTCCTCTTTTCTTCAGGATTCCAAGTTAGGACTTGCCTCGTGATGAAGTTTGATGATTTGCGTAATATATGTCCTATCCATTTCAATCATCTTTTCTTAATTTCTTCTTCAGATGGAAGCCGGTTAATTTGCTGATGGTATTCGGCCAATAGATGTTGAGTATCTTGCGTAGACAACCATTTATAAATACTTGCACCTTCTTGATGGTGGGTGCTGTAGTTCTTCAAGTTTCAGCTCCGTACAGTAGAACTGACTGCCTTGACGTTCGTATTGAAGATTCTCAGTCTGATATTGGTTGACAGACATTTGTTTTGAGTTCCATATATTCTTCAATTGTAGGAATTCGAGCCTTACTTTGCCTTTATGTCTGCATCTAAACCTCCTTGTTCATCGCTGACACTTCCCAGGTATATGAAGGATTCTACATCTTCCAGAGTTTCGCCATCAAGAGTGATTGTATTGGTGTTCTCCGTGTTGTATTTGAGGACCTTGGTTTTCCCCTTGTATATGTTGAGACCTACTGATGCAGAGACTGCTGCTACACTGGCTGTCTTCATCTGTATTTGCTCGTGTTTATTGAATAGGAGGGCTTGGTCATGTGCGAAGTCCAAATCATCTAATTGGTTCTGAGCTGTTCATTGTATCCCGTGTTTTCCCTCAGGTGTCGAGGTCCTCATAATCCAGTCGACCACCAGAAGAAAGAGGAAGGGAGAGATTAAACAGCCTTGTCTGACTCCGGTCCTTACTTGGAATGCATCTGTCAGCTGTCCTCCATGCACTACTTTGCACTGTAGTCCGTCGTATGAGTTCCGGATAATATTGACAATCTTCTCAGGAACTCCGTAGTGTCGAAGAAGTTTCCATAACGTACTCCTATCTACATTGTCAAATGCCTTTTCATAATCAATGAAGTTGATGTATAGTGACGAGTTCCACTCAACTGATTGTTCGACGATGATCCGTAGTGTTGCAATTTGTTCTGTGCACAACCGATCCTTACGGAATCCAGCTTGTTGATCTCGAAGTTGAGCGTCTACTGCATCTTTCATCCGATTCAGCAACACTCTGTTAAAGACTTTCCCTGGTACTGATAGTAGTGTAAGGCCTCTGTAGTTTTCACATTTGCTCAGATCTCTTTTCTTTGGAATCTTGACGAGGTGCCCCCCTTTCCAGTCCATCGGCAATTGTTCCTCCTCCGAAATCTATTTGAATAGAAGGTGAAGCATGTCTGCAGTTACTTCGATGTCTGGCTTCAGTGCTTCCGCTGGTATATTGTCGAGTCTTGCTGCTTTTCTGCTCTTGGTTTGTCTGATGGCCATTCTGATTTCTTCCGTCGTTGTTGAACTGACATCTATAGGAGGATCTATGTGTGCTGCTTCGATGTCCGGTGGATTCGTTGGAGCCGGCCTATCCAGGAGTTCTTCGAAGTATTCTACCCATTTGTTCCGCTGTCGATGAATTTCTAAAATGCATACATAGAAAAGGGTTTATGCACATCTCCACACAAAAATGCACAAAAGCGATCATACACCAAGGTAATGACAACTTTGGGTCTGACATACACTCATAGTCTCGCATTCTAGAGTAAATAGTGGGTGAAAGCACACAAAATATTCACTACATTAGAACCAACTAGTTGTACACTTCTGCACCGAACTGATAATGATCAGAAATGCGCGCTTGAACGTGACAGCAGCTCAAACTGCGGACATATTTAAAAGAATGGTGGATAAACTGGAGTATCTTAGCTAATAGGTCTGACATATTCCTTAAAGCAACTGCAGTCACTTGTTTGGGTCTAAGATATTAGAAAAGAGCTAGGTTAATCTACGAAATCAGTTACCCTCGCAACAGTTGAAAATAGGCTGAACTGGTACGGACTGAAATCAAGCAGCTGGGTTGAATATTCATATATATCAATTACAGATTACGAACGTGCCTATGGATTCTCGGTTTAATCATGGAACGAAGTATGTCTCAAATGATAAAGGAAGGTTAGAACAAAGCAGAAAGCTCGGCGGGTTGTTCCTGGATGGCCTTTACTCGGTCGGTTGAAACAACAATTTATGGCCAATAAAAATGACTGTACAGACTAGACGAAATTATGCAAAATTCAAATAATAGTGTGTAAGTATTTACAAATTAAACCCACATTGGCTATTTCCACACTCATGTCTTCAAAAGGAGGAAATTCGTAATCTGAATTTGTTAAGGTGAAGCAGCGCGTTTTAGGAATGTAAGGTTTGAAGAGGGAAAATAAACGGAGGAAGTTACATTTGAGTAATTCACGTCCACATCACCATTTACATCTCTCTGTCAAAAGGAAGCTATATAACAAGTCTCTGTTCTTATTCAAGCTTCAAATTATGTTTGGAAACCGTACAGATAAGTTACAAGACTCACTAATACAACTCAGGGTATATCACATATCATTGTTAACAAAATTGTCCATTGCTTATAGATCGCAGCAAAGCAAGTAATGCGCTTCTCTGAAAAGGCAGCAAGGGAATCTGAAGTCCAAAAGCAAAAACTAAAAAAGGTAAACCATAGTTCATTGTCTAGAATTATGTGGTCTAAACATTTGCTTTTTTATAGGCTTTAACATCTGGAAATATTGAGTGTGGTAGAATTTATGCTGAAAATGCTATTAGAAAACAGAAAGAGTCCACTAATTACCTCCGGATGGCGTCTCGTTTTGATGCTGTCCAGTCACGCGTACAAACTGCTCTCACAATGAATCAGGTATATTTCTCTCGGCATTGTAATTTCAGGTGGTAAAAAATATTGGTTCTGTCACGAATGAACTTGAAAAAGTTATGCGCACCATGGATTTGGAGAAACTCGAAAAGGTCATGAGTAAATTCGAGTCTCAGTTTGAAGATCTCGATATTCGTTCTTTAACTATGGAAAATTCCATGAAAAATATATTTACTCTTTCAGCTCCTGAGGATGAGATTAATTCGTTGATAAAACAGGTTAGTTGAGGCCAATCGTTACATTGGTATATTATGACTTGCCAACTTGTGTTTTCATTGTGAAGCATTTCAATACGGGTAGTTTATCAGTCGCATTGCAGTCTTGGTCCGCATCCTAGTCTTGCATCAGTTTGTCTCAGTAGGTATGGTTAAATTACTGCTTTAGATAGTGAAAGTTTTAATCATCACGGAGAAAATTTTAGCGTGTTGTGAGATTCTAAATTAGTTCATAAAGTACATAATTCAAATGCCTTCATACATTTAGAAAAATCCGTCTTATTCACCCTAGAAAACATATTAGCTCTGTTGATAATATGTCTTTAGTTACATCCCAATGGCTAGAAAATCATATTTCTGACGTTTCGTGACTTAATGTAAACCATTTCAGAGTAAATAGCCACTTAACACAAGGTTAAATAGGTCGAGCCTTGGTATAGATACACAATAACTCTGGTTGCTACATCACATCATCCCAGCGTGGTAGATTTGCGCGAATAAAGATCTCAGCACCAGTGATTATAAAAATTTATAACGGTTTAAGGAAGAGTAAATTTGCAGGGTAAATTATTAAATAATTATGAAACTCGGGACATATAGGATGGTAAGATGTGAATAAACATCTACCATTGCAACCTATTTTGAGCCATATTGTCCGGTGTTTCCAAACACTGGTCGTGACATTCACGTTGTCTTCAAACAGGTAGTCTTCTTCCCTCAGCGTGACAAATCAGTGGTCAGTGACTTCATGGATCAATCCAGCATTCTGCTTTTGCTTTCAGCAAGTTTCTTTCAACCTACTACTATCTTAGTCAACATCGACGATAGTAATTCTCCCTCGTTTCAATGGTCCCTTCAGTTTATTTATTCATTTGAACACAAAAATTGGTATGAATGGGCACCAAATACATATGCGCCACACAATAACAATGAGGTTGTGAAGAGATAGAAAATGTAAAGTACGTATAATAAAAGAACAACAACGGACAGGAATTATGGTGAGTGAAATGATAATGAGAAAAACAGCTTAGGAGAAATACAACCAGAATAAGTTACGTTTACTTTTATGAAGAAAGTAAAAGAGTTACGGCAGAATCGCCATTGGCTTCTATTCTGAGCCATATCTGATAACGTCTCTAACCATTGTGTTGCACCATCTCTCGGACCCCAACCAGGAAGTCATGAAGGACCAAAAGGAACCAGTCCTGTACAGCTTTCTTTCATACCACGACACCATGTCAAACTGACCACCTCTTGCCTTTTCCAACCAGCCCGAGCATCGGCAAATAATGCACGACGTGGAATTCTCTGGCACGACATTCATCGAACATATCCAAGCCACCGAAGTCGATGTTTCAAGATGGTGACACCAATCGGATCATCGTCTCTGTGCCCGAACACACGATGCCGAACCTCTGCGTTACTAACATGGAGTTGCCACTGGATGTCAACAATCATTCGGAGATGATCAAACACAGAGAGTCGTCTAACATCCTCAACTCGGAGAGGCCAGGTTTCACAAGCATAGAGCGTTGTAGATCCGACCTTTCACAGCCAAACTGACATCACGAAGGCACCAAAGATGGCACAGATTTGCATGTGCCGCTTTGGCTTTCACTATACGTGCATTGATCTCATTACCCACGCCACCACCAGCACTTATGCAGCTACCTAGATACACAACTTCGCAACTGCTTCTATCTTTTCACCATCCAGGGTGAGTACAGGATTAGAATCCCTCCAGTCTTGTAGAAGTACTTTGCACTTCGAAGGTGCAAAGCACATACTATACCTACGGACACTGATTGCCAAACATTTGCAAATAATTCAGTCTGTTCCATAACCAGAGAGTTGCCATCATCTTTAATAAGGCTCGAAGGTAAGTCGTCTGAGTTTGATTATTTGTGGCGCTCCATGAGCTGGAGTTTCTTGTAGACTTGCGCCTCGTTTGGTGGATCAGTCGTCGCAGGCCATGGAGGGCAGGACAGTCTGATCGAAGTTGCCGGGGCAGCCGACCAGTTGGACTGCTTCACGATAAACCTTGCCCATCATCTAAGACGTCGGTAAATGTTAGTGGTTGGCATCCCGTCATCTTCGCAAATTGTTTCACTCACACTAGACTTCTTTCTGCAAGCGACTCGGATGAGTTTAAAGAGCTTCCAGTGGTTACCGGAAGCAACTGCTACTTCCAACCCGTTGGCATGCTCCGACCAAAAGTCGTCTCGGTCCTTATGCAAGCTTGGTACAATTTCATTACGTAATAGTCTTCGTTTATAGTCGGACATGCGGTCACCTGGAGTAAACCGACGTGCTACAGGGAGTTGTAAGAAGCCTGAAAAAACAGTGCTTGTGCGCTGGACTTTTCACGAAACTGCCAACGGATTTACCCACCATTTTCATTCCATCACACAATTGCGAGCAATGCTCATCTATACTTTTCGGTGGGACGGCAGCTAGTCTTGAACTGAGCTCAGTTTGATATTTAGTTGCAACCAATTTACCAACATCAATCTGTTGGCCACTAGAACGCAAGGTAAGATTAGTACAACCAAGGGAATGATCAAAGTCCAGATAGGTACTATAAAAGGAGAGGCAATCTTGTACACAACCACGCCAGCTTTAGCTGATATCGATGTGGTCAACCTGAATCCAGGTTTAAGATGCAGAGGAAAGACGCCCGGTAGCCAGAAACCATGTAATTTGTGCACAGTTGTAGTAGACGGTCACTGTTATCTGACGTGCGATCAACAAGTTCCCATAGGTCACCTAAACGACCATCTATGCGTAGACGCCCGATCCGAGCATTCAAGTCTCCTGCTAGTACTACAATGTCTAATAAACTCATCCTTGATCGCATCCGAGCTTCGCTCTGTCGAAGCATAAGCGGAGATGATGAAGAGACGTCGTTTCTCGTACCGATTTCTTTGCACTTTGATTGAGCTTTCGAATCTAACAGTATATAACCGACTGTCAATGTGGATCCAGTCGGCCATTACTGTCTCAGCTCTGATGCTTAATATGACACTAACACCTGAAAAATCAAACGAACATGCTACAGGGTCCCCGGATAAACGCACGTGAAACAAGCTTTTCGAAGCGACAGATAAAGAGAGAATTTGTAGTACGCCACTAGAGTTATTAATATGGGTCTCGGATAGACAACCTTTATAAATGTTGAAACCTTCTAAGGACATTTATATATTTGAACAGATATTGGTACAAAGGGGCACCAAATATACATGTGCCACACAAGTCACTTGATTTTTGTGTGGGCTGTGACACTGCCCGAGTTCCCAGACTGAAGCAGGTGGTTTTCTTAGTGGGTCACACCCGGAGCCTTCGACCTAAAGGTTTGGTCCACAAGGCAGTGGAGCAACGTCTCATGGTAGCCGGGGACCAATGATTGGCTCATACGCCATTCCATCAGGCGCATTCGGGACATTGCTGAAGTGGCATGGAACGACGGAATGAGTTATGTCGGGGTTACAATCATAAAGTACCAGGCAAAGGTGGCAAATCACTTGTTGAGGTCGTAACTTAATTGAACTAAGGAGTGTGGACATGGTTTACGTGTGCCTAACCACTTTGTGCCTTGATTGGCACGTGATGGTTATCAATAGTTGATGACTTAGAGTAACATGATCCAGAATCGTTCACAGTGGAGATGTATTCAGACATTTTCTTCTTTTACATTTTGCTGCCACATTACACAAATAACTAATTATTTATGTTATATGCATTTTATCTACTAATGTGGAGCAGATACTTTTACCAACGTACATCTGTACCAAGCTCTATGTTGATGACGTCTGTCTGGTCATAAAGAGTTTAGTATTCATTCAGTCCTAAAAACTACTATAATGATTATTTATCTAATTAGTATGCAGGTGTATAATTGTAAATTGCAATGTTAAAAGCAAGTATTCTTGGAAACTATTCATGATTGACTTCCGTAAGTCTTTCTGTAAATCCCATTGTCATAAAACCATATAGATGTTGGCCATCAACACTAATCCGATTTCGTTTTCAGGTCCTCCAAGAAGAAATATTTTCCCAGTGTGAGAGGCTTGGATATTTTAAGTATCCACATGCATTCAGTTGTGCTCAAATTCTTTCTGTTTATTGTCAATTATCTTTGTATCCTAGATTTTGTCATATTGTTGTAGATTCTGCTCCATTTGCAACCAGTGTTAACAATTTGAGTTCAAGAAAGCACCTCTATCTCCTGAAACTACTTTCGAGTTTATGATGAAGTTGTCAGTTTTCTAACTCTTAATCAATATGTAGAAGTAAACATACATTTTTTCATCAATTAAGGAATTTAATGTATTGTCAGTTAGTGAAACAGTCGAAAAAATATATTTGTGAGCTATCGTCAATCGGCTAGCTGTGGGGAGGGGAGCAAATCTACGAACATCCATTCACTACGAACCAATTGATTGAACAGAAAACTGGCACTCGGCTTAGAACTTTAAGTGAATTATAAGAAGCTCTATTTAACTAAGATTAGAGGAGAAACAATCAACCATGTCTAGTTAATTGCTTAGATACCTAAGGTTGGTGGTTCATATCTATTAAACAAGTTGGAAGACGTACTGGTTTACTAGCTAATTAGGCGTAGTTCTGACGTTCTGGCTCAGGTCTCTGATCTCTACATTCACCTCGCATTTACGTACCACTTTCAGTTGTTTTCCATTTTGAGTCCTGTTTTCACAAGTTCTAGGATCAGTCAATAAAAAAGCTAGTTTATAAAAAGGGGTTTATAAAAAATATATATCATGATATTAGTGACTTTTGGCTTACCGTAAATCTTTAGTCGGTATCGAAACGACAGTTTAATTTAAATACCTCCTGAAACCTTAATTAACCCAGTTCTGTTATTTTCCATCAAAAATGTAGGGTTCTACCTTTGAATAAACAGTCTCACTTGGTACTTCTACCGCTTAAACCATTTGCCGTAGTAGTTTATTTGCAATACTGATTATCGTTCCCCTTTCTTTTATCTAAAAACTGCCATTTTGTATTGTCCACAATTTCACACTATTCCATTGTATGGATTTGTTTTTCAGCCAGTGTGAACAAAAAGTTGACTCTCTCACTAATTTGCTTGATAAGTTTTCTTCAAAAATACATTGTTTTCTGAACTTTCGGACTTCATTAGTTCTATGGTTGTTCCTTGAATTTTACGTAGGTGGCAGAAGAAAACAGTCTTGAAGTTTCACACGCTATTGCAGACGCTCCTGTTGTTGGTGGTACACTTTCCGTTAATTCAGAGTCATCTAGGGATGCTGAAGATGACGCTCTTACAAGAAGGTTAGTTGTATACTTGTGTAGTTTCTCTCACATTAGCGTGTGTGAACCCATCCAGCATTCGCGTTATGTACATAACTATATGTTTTCAAATGTGGTCTTATAACTTTTTGTGTATTGGGTCACCACTAAGTATTTATAGAAATATTTTGGAGTGACCTTATCTCCCAGGTTTAAATAATTTGCAGAATTTCTTATAATTACTCGTCACATTAGTCGTTGTTGATAAAATTAAGCTGTATCAAATTTTTTCTGGAAAATCTCATTTAATGTTTATTAGGTGGGTGCATTCTGCCTTTAGGTCGAAGGCTCCGGGTGTGACCCACTAAAACCATTTACTTTAGTCTGGGCACCTGGACAGTATCACAGCCCACACAAACCAAGTGACTTTTGTGGCACATATGTATTTGGTGTCCCAATGTACTAATATTTATGTGTTCAAATTAATAAAGTAGTACATAAGTTCTTGCTAATAAAGAATGGTTTTTTATATTCTTTTGATTACATATTGACTAAAAAAAACTTATAGCAATTCACCTCTCAATTTTAATCTGTACTTAAGAGTAACATTGTATAATATTCATTCTTACTCGAATCGCTAATAGTTTCTGTCATTGATTTATTTTTCTTGAGTCACTGTGATTAGACTTTATACCAAGGTATGATGCAGTAAAATATGTTAGCATTAAATAAACTCCCATTTTTCTGTCGGTCAGCGTTATCTAACCTGCCAACGAAAAGTCCCCACTCGCCACCCAGATGACTCTCCTGTCTCCCCAGACGTCTGACCTGCTCATTTAAATCTCTTGCTAGCACTATAATTTATTTTGAACACTCTGTCTTGAAATAATTTAACCGGTGATTGAACTGATCCTTGATTGGACCCGTGTTTTAATCTGCCGGACGGTAGGCGAAGATGACGAAAAGACAGTTTTGTGTGTGGCTTTTTTAATCTTACAGCACATAAAAGAATGTTAGTGAGGATCCATCTGATTAGTATTGCTTTTGCTCTAATGCTTAGTGCAAGACCAACTGACAGCGGTACCTCATGGGAATGTCATAGAGTCCTCAGATGGACGCACGTAAAACTGGTGAACGTGTAGAATTTCTCTAGAGTTTTGAATACAGGTCTCGGATATACGGAAAACGTCGATGTTCAAACTTTCAAATCACATAGCCAGAATTATCTGTTTTCGTATATGCACTAATGTGGGAGTGTTGAACGAGTCCATTTCTAGTGGCACACATGGTTTCATTCAAGCTGATTCCGAATTCATAATCGATGGTAGCGCTCAAACTTTCAGTCAGTCATTAAATTGGGTTCGTTTATTCAGAAAAAGACTTTCACCATTGATGAGCTCTTGTGTGATTTGGCAAATTAAAGTAAACAAAATGAAATAGAAAAATGGATCAAAGTAAAACAAAAACATTTGAGTTAAATGTTTAGTAATTATCTTTTGAATTAGTAATGAATCAAAGTATGTAGATCAGTTTCTTCGTAATTATTGTAGGATTTAATTTGTCCTACAGATATACTACTGGAACTGTAAACGCGATACAGGCGACTTCAGAGGCTATTTGAAAGCTAGTCAGAACAGGGACAACTTGGCTTTAAACTTTATCTGTTTCTAAACGTAAAAACAATTAGATTAGTACAATTAAAGGAATTATAGTCATTAAGTGGAATGCACAAACATACCGACCAGTATTGCGTGTCTTATCGAAATGAATAAAAATTGAATCACACTTATATAATAGGATAATAATGTCCTTCAATTGGCAGGTCACATGCAACAGAGATAGTCTACAGATACATCAGTCCAGATTGACATGGCGGGCGCCTAAACAACGGTTTGATTGGTTAGTTATGGACATAACTAGCAATTATTCTCCGTCATATTTGTGAAAGGGCTGGGTTACTTTTCTAAAGCCTAGACCGAATCAGATAGTATTATTAGGGACACATTCCCTGATCCATTGATATGGAAGTTATAATCCACACGGCAGGGAAGCAGCGCTAGCAGATGCCATCCCATGGTAGTCGGTGGCCAAGATTGGACTCATGTACCATTTAATCCCTCAGGATCCTGGAGCGTATATAAACCATCGGTTAGGAATTCGGGCTTAACATCTCTCCTAGGTAGACTGTTCGTATCCACCAATCCGGGTTAAGCATCAGGCACTCTTCATCTTCTCTTCTGTAAACTACACCCCTGCCACAAGACAGTGAGTATAAAAGACAGTGGCTATAAACGGGTGGTCATATGAAATTATTTTCAAGGGAAAAATGGACTTCCCACCATCGGCCGTATCAGGGCTTTAAGAGAAGGGGTTATCAAAATATCGTTGGGAATTATAGGGAATATCTTTTTAAGTGGGTCTAAGTTGCATAGACACATTATTTTATTGTCTTCTTTGAAGTCATGTACTTTTCTTCTCTTAATTTCATTCCTTTTACCATTTCACCTCCTTTCCTTATCATTATCAATGTAATCATATTCATTAATTTAGTGTCATTTTTATTGATTCTTTCTCACTGGATTACTTTAAGTTGTACTACATCTTACGTCCTTTACATTTTTATGTTCAATGTTAAATTTGAAGGATATGACCTTTGAGTTTGTGAGGCGTGACAGGGATGCATGTATGTGATCATTGGTAATTTTGAGTCATTGGTTACATATGAATACAAAATTGGATTTGTAGTTGGACAGTGTTGTAAACTTGCACAAACCTAGTGATTGAAACATGTTTGTTACTTACACAGATGCGTTGCCTACTTGTTGTACGACATTGGTCGTAGTAAACGTAAGTTAGAAGAAGCGTTGTTTTAGTCAAACGAAGATGTGGTGTTGATCCACATTGTCTCTAGTTTTTAAGGTTAAGTGACCGCTACCAAAACTAGGATCTTCAAGATACTTGAAGATAATAATTGAAAAACTAGGCTTCATAGAAGGAAACTAATTTTCTATCATTCGGTTGAATCCCCACTTTTATTTACTGGTGTTAATTGTAATAACTTAAATCGATGCATTGACTTGTAGTCGTTTACTTTGCGTGATCTGTCATTCTGTAGTATGAACATAGATTATCCGATAATGTTTGACAAGCTTTTGGTTGTTTTTATGTCCGTTGAATAAGATATTAAGTTACGCGTTATTGATGTAGATTAAACAAATCAACGAATCTCATGAATTATGTGGATATCTCTTGTTTTCGCCTCTCTCTTTAAATAAAAGATTAATGTCATTGAGTTTAATTTACATGTCGTTTAGACTCTTAATAGTAAATAGTACGTTCTAAGTTATCCATATTATTGGTAAAAGCGGCACATTTTTGTCCTAAGCTGTGCTTCTTTTTTATAATTAAATGTGAAAATTCATTCCTACTATATATATAATATAGCTCATAATTTCATCAATATTCTTATCATCAAGGCATAACTTGATTAGGTAAGAAAACCAATCAAAAACATTTTAATAATAATAACAATCACTGTGTTTATAATATTTACTTTGCTTTCTTTTTTATGAAAAAAAAGAAATAAAACTTCGTGATTATTGGTTTTGTTTGATACTTTTCCCTTTCCATCCATAATCGTACTTAGATATGTAGTTTTATGTATCATTGTTATATCCCATTCTTTTTAATTTTACTAAACGACTGTGATCAAAAACGTACAATATGTTTTTTTATTACATGGTAAAATAGTTCACATGAATCACATCATAAGATAACAAAGATCCTTACTAACTCGATTATTTCTTTAAATTTTGTGAATCAACATCAGCATGTGGTTACATTTTTGGTTTTCCTACCTCTTCAATACAATGCTAATGAACATGAATATTTTACGTTTATAATGCTTTATTTTGTTTGCATTTAAATTTTAAACGTTTTTTTAGCTACAAATAATTACATATCATTGAGATAATGAATCGAGCAATGTTAGAGCACTGTTGAAAACCGGAGAGCATTGAAATTCCATTTCGTCCTGGCATAGGACTCCTCAGAAGTACATATCGACTACACCACACGCAAGACTCAAACCCAGGACCTTCGGTGTTAATGTCTAACTGACCAGTGAAGCTAAACCGTGTCGAATGTGAGGTAGTTACGAACAAAAAGCAATGGAAAACGGTCGCGCAATATCGTGAATTGATTGAAGGTAGGAAATAACTTTGTCGGATGCCGACTCGGTGGTCTAGAGGCTGTGTTCGCACGCGAGCCCAGAGGTCCTGGGAAGTCGTAGACGTGCACTGCCGAGGAATTCCATACACGGATGAAACAGTCGTTTATTGCTTTCAGGTTTTTAATGGTGGTCTACCACTGATCGGTTCATTATCTCAATCTAATTGAGCAATCTCTGGAACTCCTCACTGATAATAAATAAGGGCTTATCATCTATCCATTGCACATTCATTTGACTGTCGTTGTCTTTGAATTAAGTTAATCGGATGACTGATGCCATTTATTTGGCACAAAATGAGATGAGACATCTCGTAAATTATGTAAATTGTACTCTAGCTGTCAGCTGCTACACTTTTGTTTAGTGATACTGTTAGGTTATATGGAACAAAATGTGTTTGAACTCCCGATTGTTGTTATCGGTGTTGCGATGTTTGGCTACTGTTATCATGGGTTTTACAGTTTAAACATCAATTCGTGAAACGGGTCAATATAACTATCAACATTTTGAACTACAAATGTCTAATGCTATTGAATGTTTCATGTAATCAAATGCTCCAATACACCCCACAAATACATTTTCATAAAACCATTTTTAAATAATTATGTGTTTATAAACTTTCATTAAAGTAGAACAGTGATTTTCTAACATTTCTCGGTCTCCTGAGAGTTGCTTCTTCAAAAAATAATGTGCAAATTTCCTGAATTTAGAGTAGTAAATAGAAGAAACTGAGTCATATTTTTTGTTAATTAAGACAACATAGTTCACTGTTACTTACTGATTCATATTTATGGCTTTTTACTTCATATAAGTGGTCTGTAATTTCTGTAAGATGCATTGTTACCATATTTACATCACGACAACACAAACATGTCATCCATAGTTTTAAAGGTTGTTACACTAAAATCCTTTCTCGCTCATTATATTTCGCTAGTTCCAGTAATTATAACCATTACTTCTTTGCACTTTATTTGCTACACGGAATCAGTACTTTTCCCTGTAAATTCAAAATAGTTAATTTGTTATATGTTTTATTAGATTTAACGTTTGTTCAGCTCTTCATTTATATGTAAAGTCAATAACATTCAGTATTTTCTTCATTTTGATGGTATATATACATATGTATGTATGCTGTGGACAAAATCCATGTATTTAACTTTATTGAAAACAAAAAGATCTAACCAAACGTTTATTGTATGGCAGTAAAATTTTGTGGGTTGCGTACCCAACAGTTATGTAAAGCTAAATAATGTTGGTAGTTTTATCTTATTCAGACACATTTTTATGATTTTTCTGATGAAATTTGGTATGGTGTAACTTAATGACGTAGCACTTTATCTCCATAGTATAACATCGGACATTAATCTTAAATTTCCATTGTATTTAATGCTTTATATTTTCACGTCACATTATACTCGACTCTTCATATTCAGTTAGCTGGAGTTGACTGATATTTAAGTAATCTTGTTATTCCATTCATCTTGGATTTATTATTAACTTTCAGGTACTGTAATTTGTGTGCTTCTCAATCTTTTTAGAGGCCATTAATCGAATGTGGGTAATCTTTTCAGATGTGTTGTCTTGAGTTTTGTTTTTGAGAGCTAATAGTTACCTTTATTGGGTTGTGTATTCAGACTATAACATGGCCACCACCTCTTCATAAATCTTTATTTATTTTTATTTCAGGCTTGCTGCACTCCGTCAATAAAACCTGTCAACTTCAGTGTTTTGTTGCTCCATCTGGTCAATAATAATTTATTCTGATTATTTTTCATCGTTAACAGGTTACTCATAAGCTCATTTTTGTATTTTTGCTCTTTCTAAACTTTACTTTGAAGGATATTTTCTCTTTGAAATTAGTTGTACAAACCCAAATGGACCTATTTTGTTTCACTTCGCAAAACGTTTATAATATGGTGCACCGTCAGATTTCTTGCAGATCCTTGAAGAAATTATATATTTTGTATTGCTCGCTTATCACTGAAATGATTTTGTGAATAAAATGGACTATATGTCTAATACATTTACTAGTATTATTTATTAATTGTTACAATCATTTAATTTTACTTCCAGTGCAGTGTTTTGTTTTTCTAGTGGCGTTATGTACAAACTAGCCCGACTGTGGTTAATTATTGTTGACCTATTAAACAACCAGTTCGCTTAAATTTCACTTTTTACTGTGTTTTATGGCGTAAGTGAAACATATTTAAAATGAGTAACGGCGTAAAATCCTACTTGTTACAATTACATGTCTCTGTAAACTTAGTTATTTACGTAAGTGAAGACAATTTCAAACTTGATGTGTATCTCGGTGTCATTTTTAGTTTTTAGGTATTCTAAAGTCATGTCATACATATTGTGTTTACTGACATGAGTCTAGGTTGTTCTGAAAATAATAAATACACGGAAAACTTGTGTCTTGGGAAGCTTCTTTTCGAAATTTATCAGTTTTAACGCTGTGTAAATTGTGATTAAAAGGTGCAAAGTAGTGTAATTATAATTTTGCTTGTATATTGAGTATTATTGTACTTCCCACTTGACCCAACCCTCTAAGCAGCCTCTTCTGGATGCGCGGATAATCACTGAGATAGGAGGCTGTCAACGATAACGAAGCACCACTTTAGAGAGCTACTGATTGTGGCTCTGAGTCTTCTTGGTTGGTGTCTGCGCGGTTATCGTAACCAGTAGTTGATATTGCTCAAAATCAATTTCAATGGCACATGTGCGTTCCTTTTTCGCAATACACATCTTGAGTTTGAAACTTGTCTCATAATTTCCTATTCCACGAGTTCATTTTTTAATCATTTAGTCTATTTCCAATCTTTTCTACTATCAGCGATATTACTACTTTTATCTTGATAATTTCATCGCTGTGTATTGATGTGGTGTTGCAACTCGAACTAAAGTACATATGTGCCCAGTCCTACGTTACTGATTGACTGGTGGATGGATTGAGTATAGAAGTGAAAGATCTCTATACTCATATGAATAATAGCCAACGCTTTCAACTATGACGACTACTAGGTAAGAAAGTGTATACTAGTGGAAAGCTAAGCACAAAGTTTATGAATTTAAACTGCTCCATTCAACGATACAAATGAAATACGACAAAAGTAAACAAGACAAGCTAATAAAAAAGCATAGTAGTCGTTTATTACTCAGATGCTGAGTGACCTGGTATCCAAATAATACATCCTAACCACAGAAACGAACGAAATATTTACTTCCAGTTTTCTTTTATCAATAGTTACCCGCCACTTCAATGAGGACTAAAACCACACAAATGGCTTTATTATAATCAGTTCTAAGAAATAATAACGGCGATCGTCTGTCGCAGCTTTGCTCAGATAACCATCTATTTCTAGAAAACACCGATTTTGAACATAAGGCGAAACTTCGTCTGACGGCTTCCACGATCGACTCATTGATGGACTCGAATAAATCACATCGCTATTAACCATCGTTGGAGGAGCTCGATAAAAAACTCGCTCATTTTGGAGCACATAATTTGACTCGGGTCATGCTCTAGTTTGAGGACATATTCGTCTGGTTAGTGAAAATCAGCGGTGTCTACGGAATTGATAGATGCTCGGAAACTCATTCCGTCTTGCTCCAAACACAATGAGGGAGCTTAAGCGTTGGCTGGTAAAAAAAGGCCTATGTAGTGATCCCGAGCAGAAGTGGGTAGCAAAAGCGGAATAGATGAAAAGGGCGGCTACAATAGGTAACTGTTTAAACTTACCAAAGAAGCGGGTGTTTATGATACAACTGTTATTAAAACTATCTCGTAAACAGATGATTATTATTCACTTTCAATCCAGAAGTTTGAACCGAAGAGGACAATAATTTAGGGAATAGTTCAACTGGTCTTTGGCCACACTATCTACAAGCAAACTGATGTAAGTCCTCCATCTCTTAGTAAGGCTGAGAAAGCTATTAATGGTCTGTAGCGAGGAAGAGCAGCAGAGCCTGGTGAATTATTTTTTTAAAGGATGGTAGTCCAGTTTTAGCAGTTAGATTAGCTAAGATCTGGTAACAACTTGGTTCGGTGTTCATACTTTGGATTAGTCTGGACAATAATTCGGGTCCAAATTCTGGTTCTACAGAACAAAGGCGTACTATGGAAACTCGAAGCAAAAGACCGAGGGAAAATGACGAATTGGACGGTAAAATTTCCAGAGCTGTTTGTGGTATGTATGACGTTAATGATGATAAATGTGATGATGTTAGTATTAATAGTATGTCCTCTAGTCAGCTTAGTACTTCTAGATTAAAGTTAGGTAAAGCATTACTGGAGAAAAGGAATTTAGAAAAGAGACTTGAATTAGAACGGCAACTTAAGATGTTAGATCTCCAAGAAGAGGTTAATATCGCTGAATTAAAATGTAAGGCCATCGAGGACGATGAACAACTACCCGTAGATATGTGGGATAAATGCTAAAGTGGAAAATTATTTGTATTGTGATACTGGGTGTAATAATCACTCAAGGGAGGTATGTAACATCGAAGGACACATTACATACAATGGTTGATAATATGGTTTTACCTAAGATCGATATGATATATTTTGATGGACAACCGAGTCAGTACCACCGGTTTATTAGTCAGTTTACTAGCATTATCGAGAGTAAACTGTCCGATAAGGGCCAATTGTCGTCGTATTTATTATACTAATGTAAGGGAAAGGCCAAAATGGCTATTGAAGCTAGCATTTCATCGCCCATTCATTTGGGTTATGATAGAGCCAGACATTTGGGTCGACTATCTGTAAATCGTGAATAAACTTTGGTATCTAAGTGGAGTTTGGTTCTATTGTTAATTTGGGTTCGTGAATTGCAAATAGACGATATGCCGTACTTCAGTAAAGGGAACGAGCAAAAACTGGGACGTGACTTAGTCCATAAGAAAAGATAAGAATCTTACGACAATCAGTTTAATTAAGTGTCTAAAATATTAACAGCAATACTTCGACGTCTACCTAGAGCTCGTTAAAAGTAAGCTAGAAAGAACCAGGCTGGTTTCCAACCTGGACGTGAATGTATGGACGAAATATTCACCCTTCAGCAGTTTCTGGAACAGCGACGTAAGAATCAAGTTGTATTCCTCGACTCCTAGGCGGCGTTCGGCTCTGTTGACCATGAGGTTCTGTGGCACTGCCTGTTGTTGGAAGGGTTACCGAAGAGGCAACTTGACCTTGTACAGGTTCTCTACGCAAACACTACTCGTCGAGTCAGGATTTATGGCGAACTATAACTAGGGCTAGTTCCCTTAGGTGGTGTACGTCAGGGTTATCCGTCCTTCCCATTTCTGTTCAAGTTTGACATCAACATACTTTTAGAGATAACCTACATCACCCAACTTTCTAGGAATTGATCTTCCGCCAGGAGATCCACTTGCTGACTTAAGGTACGCATATAATATAGTTCTGTCTAAAGACATTAACAATATGCAGCCTTCTGACAACCTTAAATAAAAATGCAAACATGTTTGGGATGCGATCCCCTCCTTCCATATCCAAAATGTCACTTCAGGATTGCCCTGCGCCATCGCCCAAATTATTGGTAGGGACTGAAGTAGTTGGGCGCATCGACCGCTGCTCTTATTTTGGGAGTCTCATCAGTCCTGGTCCGGTATCTCGGGGACTTTCAGCACGGATTAGGAGACTTGACTGGTTTTTGGCAGCTCGATTCACGCAGTGCCTCTTAGTAGACTTCTTAGTCCCTTGAAATGACGCTAGATACTAAGCAGCTAATCTTTCATGCTCAAATAATAATCTAATTCCAGCATCGCGAAAAGTTGTTATACGACCTTACGGAGTAATCTTTAGTAAAATCATCTAACCAAGCCGCACACCACCAAACAACGCTGACTGTTTTGAAGGGGCCTATGATCAAATATTTGTACGCAATATCACCCTGCCGTAGCTCTTGTTTTCCACCATGTACAATTAACCTTCAGTTACTAGAACCAAGTACTGCTTTCTGATAAGTGTACCAGACGTGGAGTGGTCCTATCCACTGGTATTCGACAATCCCTCGCACTATTTGGAGGTGATAACTTAACGTGAAACGCCAGCCATATGTTTAAATAATTGTGCATAGAAGATTCCCATATCCTTTACTTGATCAGTGCTCAGGAACCAGAATCTTAACTCTATTTACTTAATATTACCACTCGTACTAAAATCTCTCAGTTTGAATGCCAGTACACCACAATTAACCTTATGCCAGTTGCTGATCTGGTTTTGCGACTTAGGTGATAGAGTGACGAACGACCACCAGAATTTTGCGTAGACTGAGCCTCGTACTTCGGAACACAAAGCACAGGGAATGTGACTAACCACTCGAAAAGTATATTTAGTAACCACAGAGCGAGAAAACTAATGAGTCAAAAATACCTCATAACAAATTGAGTACTGGAGTCGCTTTGGCAGAGCGTTTACAGCCCCAGATATGAAACCCTGAGAACCAAGTACGGATAAGACTGGTCAAGATCTATAAAGATATAAATGCATATCTATTCATATAAAAATATAGTTCATCACACTAAAAATCTTCATCAACAGAAAAGTTATGGGTTGATTCGCCCCTCGCTCGAGACATGACACCAGCACGTTGATATTCACCAACTCGCTTCTCAAAAAAGTTTGTCTTTCCTTCGATCGATATATTTTCCATAAAGTCGAAAGGATTGTCAGAATGATACATCTAAACGAAAACGATTAAAAGAAAATTTACAAACCTTTTCATAACCAAGTTCAACTAGTAGCCTGTCTGCGATAAATTCAATGTACTGACACATCAGTTTGCAATTCATTCCAATTAAGCTGACTGGTAGAGCTTCTGATAAAAACTCCTGTTCTATTAGAACCGCCTCTCTTATTATTGACTCAACACGTTCTTTCGAAGGCTTTTTGATAATATGTTTAAATAATAGACAAGCGAAATCACAATGTAGTCCTTCGTCTCTACTGATTAATTCATTGCTAAAAGACAGTCCAGGCATAAGACCTCGTTTCTTAAGCCAGAATATAGCTGCGAAGCTACCAGAAAAAAAAACACCTTCCACTGCTGCAAAAGCAATTAAACGTTCTGCAAAAGTAGATTTGGAATCTCCAATCCAATCTAATGCCCACTGAGCCTTTTTTGCAACACAAGTTAAG